AGAGGGAAAACTAGCTAAAAGTAGCTAACGGTTGCTAAAAACATCTAAACTAGTCAATACTGAAAAAACGCATTAAAGCTAAAAATAATAGATGTTAAAATTAGCAAAACATTAGTTAAAAGTTTCAAAACTGTAGCTATTAGTAAAACATGATCAAGCTAAAATGAGCAAATCAGCTACAACTAGCTAAAGAGTAGCTAGAAGTAGCAAAAGATGCTAAAGCTAAGCTTAGCAAAACTAACTAAAAGCTGGAAAAACTAGAGTGATAGCTAAAAGCAGCTGAATAGTAGTAAAAAGGTAAAAGTAGCAAAACAGTAACTTAAAGCTAATAGTAGCAGTAATTTAAAAATGTAAGTAGCAAAATGGCAGCTTAAAGCTTAAATGAGGAAAAACTGTAGTTAAAAGCTAAAAAATAGAACAATGCCTAAAAGCAAAAAGTAGTATAACAGTGAAAATACTAAAAGTAGAAAAACAGTAACAAAAAAATGCAAGTAGCAAATCATTAGCAAAAGCTAAAAGTAGTAAAACTGTAGCAATTATCTAGTGCAAGACAAAAACAGAGCAAGTAGATTTTAAAAAGAACAGTGTTTTTGAATGAATGAAATATATATTAATTTAATTAGAGAATTTATTTTAAACAAAATCAATTTTTTAAAGTGTACAAATAACTAAAACCAAAATTCAGCATATTTCTTACTGAGCTGAACAATTTAGTATTCGATAAAATAGCACAAAGTATGCCGAAGTATGTTTGCTTGCAAAAAAACATACATAAACTACAGTATATACAGCCAAACAACAGTGGAGATGCTGACTCAGCATTCACATAATCCCTGAGATATTGAAAGAAGACATTCTGTTTAAACAACACAGCTAGCTCACCTTCATGAGAAGCCTCTGATGCAAGGAATTTTGTAGAATCTGCTCCTTTTCTCTTGTTTTTGCATGAATAACTTATTTTCTTAACTAACAGATTTTTTTTATTGCTCCTCATTTTTATCCATAAAGTGGTTGCATATCCTCCGTCTCTTTGCAACAGTGGCGTTGGAGGTAAGATGTGGTAAAACTGTCATCATGTTCCTCCATGAATCACTGCACTCAGCGAACATTAAAGCATGCTGCAGTCAGTTTTTGTAATAATCCTTTACGTCATCCTGTTTGTTGTCTTATTATGGTCACTGTTTCACTTGTGTGTCTTTGTGTGCGTGTGTGTCAGTGGGAGGGGGGTATCATCTCATTTAATCCTGAGAGACAGCCTCTCATCCTGTCATTAATGTGCTCCATTAAAGTTTTTACATCATGATGAGCCATCGTTTTCCTTCAGCGGCAGCACATCTCTGTCAGGTGTAATTACATTGTCGAGCGTCCTCGCTGACAGAAACGAGCTCCAGGATCTTATTAGCCCACTTAGCATTCAGCTGTGGCTGCGGGGCCGATTGACTTTTTTCTTTTTTTTCCCTGTCAAGACGTGAGCAGAGGGAGCCAGATTTAGGTCAGATCGGTCAGCCTCTGACTCCCATAAGTCAGAGCTCTGACGTGATTTAACTGATTTGATTCATGCGTCTCTCGCTCCAAGCTGTGATTGAACATGGAGGAGAATCTGTTGCATGTGTGCATCAAAAAACAAACTCTCTTTGACCAAATCGAGAGGATGCTATGTAACAGGTAGTTTGAGAGGCTGCGTGAATTAAGTCAGTATCATCTTCCTCTCCTCAGACGGCGTCAGAGCTCAGCTGGCGGCGGACGAGAACCTGTGTCGCATCTGCATGGACGCCATCATCGACTGCGTGCTGCTGGAATGCGGTCACATGGTCACCTGCACCAAATGTGGAAAGCGGATGAGCGAGTGTCCCATCTGCAGGCAGTATGTGGTGCGGGCCGTGCATGTCTTCAAGTCCTAAAAAAAAAAGAAAAGAAAATCAAAAATAAACTGAAGAGCGCGTGGCCCCGCCCCCTCAGCGTCCCTCTGAGAACGAGCTGCTGTGCATGACGTCTCACAGGGGTCCCCATGCTGCAGCAGACTGTTGCCTGTGGCCTACAGAGGATTGCCACCCCCACCACCACCTCCTCCTCCTCTCTCCGCCTGGTCCCACCTTGCTAAAAAACCTCCAGCTGTGCTCCCCAGTGGACCACCGGCAGCTGCACGGGGGACGCTCTGGATCCAGCTCGTGAGAAACGAGTGGAGGTGGTCCTGTGGATACTTGAAGAGGGTCTGCTCGTCGTTGATGGTGACATACAGCACTGTGCAAAAGTTTTAAACTACCCCCTCCTTTCTTTTCTGGACAGATAAATAGCAGGAAAAGTCCAAGAAGAGACCAGAAAGCCAGAAGACCAATTTTAACTTTTTGAGCTTTAAGCTATTATTATTTTATGTTGAAAAAGGATGAAATTGTTGCTATTTTGATCAAATCCCATACAATATTACAAGATGTCATGAAATCTGGAATCATATATATATA